AATGTCGTCCTGAGACTGAGACGTTCGTTCTAATGTCGTCCTGAGACTGAGACCTTCGTTCTAATGTCGTCCTGAGACTGAGACGTTCGTTCTAATGTCGTCCTGAGACTGAGACCTTCGTTCTAATGTCGTCCTGAGACTGAGACCATCTTACAGGTGATTATGTTTCATATAAACGGACCAGCAGCAGCTCAGGAGCCTGAAACATCTCGTTCAGTCCGCTTCAGATCAGCTTCACCAATAAACTGAACTTGGTTATTTTGCTCCTTTTGTTTAGTTCAGTTATCGGGAGCCAGGAGCTGATATTATATTCATTATAATTATAATTATATATATCGAGCTGAGGGGAGAACGACGGACAAACATTCATTAAGCGTAGCTTTGAGTTAAGACATCGGTCCGTTTGACCGTCCTGTACTTTAGGTCACAGCTACATGAGCTCTACTCTTTTAATAACAACCAGAGAGGACAACACACTCTGATGTGTTGCTGATGATGTCACAGAGATGACGATTGTGATGTCACCTTTTTCTTTCACTTATTTAAACCCACAATAAGACGTCCATGTACATGATCTCTGTGTGTATTTGTGTCTATCCTCTGAGTCTGCATCCTTGTGTGAACTGTTTGTGATGACCTAAAGAAGAAGCATGAAGCATTAAAATATGTGCAGATCAGTGTTGGGCCGTGCATTTTATACCTAGGCCTTCACTGTTGTCCTGCAGCTGAAATACCATCTTATAACCACATGATGGCGCCACAGATATTATCAGTTTCTAAGGCTGTAACTATGTACGTATTAAATGTACGTACCTTTCGGTACGAGACTTGCAATACGTTTGAATAGTACTAGAGCATTTTGAAAATGCAGAAGCTTATATTCAGGAAAATATATATAATATATAATGTTTTCCATGCTCATGCAGGACAGTGGTTCTCAGCTGGTCTGGCTGTGGGACTCACCATCACTCCTTAATGACAAGTCACAGCCTAAAGAGATCGTCTTATGATTTTACTTTCACAACTTGAGCTTTGTACGTACTGCTCTGCAGTGTCTTTCCTCGTCTCAGCCCCGTGTCATGGTGCATCTCACTCAGTCAGAATGCCCATATTTGATTGGCTGAGCTGCATCACGTGATGTGATTCACTACCCGACATACCCCAACATGTCAAAATAAAGATCTGATTGGTTGAACACTATGACGATCAACAATATCGTCCCCATTCAATTAAACTGCACATGGATGCACTTGTGAGTCTGCAGGCCTCTGCCTCTGTTCTACCTAGAGACACAGAGGTGAGATCTGATTGGATAAAAGCTCTACTTAAAACAAGCTGCACTGGAAGCAGAGCAACTGAGGAAGACAGTAGCTGTGCAAGGAGAACATAAGATAATGGGGAAATATTTTTATAAATTATAATACATGTAGTGTATTTAAGAAAAATGATTCAATTATAAAATAGATATAACTTTGTGATTCTGTTTAGGCCAGCAGTGAAGGCATTGCTGATCCTGACGGCCCACCACTGGTTTAGATGTGTTTCTGAAGGATCAATGAAGTCAGTCAGAGTCCCTGCAGGTACTGAACAGAGAAGACCTCCAGCTGGGTCTCCAGCTCCATGGCTCTGTTCCTGAAGACAAGAAGAAGAAGAAGAACAGGAAGTACTCAGGACACCATGTTTCATTGTAAACAACCAATCAGTGTTTAAAGCAACAGGAGGAGAGCTAGTAACGTTAGCAGCACCGCTAACGGCTAACCGAGGAGAGCTAGTAACGTTAGCAGCACCGCTAACGGCTAACCGACAGGAGGAGAGCTAGTAACGGTAGCAGCACCGCTAACGGCTAACCGACAGGAGGAGAGCTAGTATCGTTAGCAGCACCGCTAACGGCTAACCGACAGGAGGAGAGCTAGTAACGTTAGCAGCACCGCTAACGGCTAACCGAGGAGAGCTAGTAACGTTAGCAGCACCGCTAACGGCTAACCGACAGGAGAGCAAGTAACGTTAGCAGCACCGCTAACGGCTAACCGACGGAGGTTCACTTCAGTTACATGATGATGCCTTCAGGCTCTGCTCAGTGAACATGAGTACTGGCTGAAGGTACATTATAACCTTATCATGATGTGTTCACATGTCACCTGTAAAATGTAGTTTTGGTGATAAACTAGAATAAATCCAGTAGTTTGAAGGAGATGTTTATGAATATAAAATAGATATTAGAGATGAATTATGAGCTGTTTGACTTCTAATACGAGCTCTAAGCTCATTATTATACAGCATTAAAAATAATATAATGACTATAAAAATACAATCTATTATTTCATAATCATTTGAATTGTGTGTTCTTATGACGAAAAAAAAACACTAATTACTACAACAAGGTAAAAGTACAACATTTAGTATTTTTGATGGTTTACTGACTTCAAAGTGTTTTTCGGACGATGGTGAGAATAATATTGTGGATCCTTATAGATCAGCTGATGTAATCAGACAACAATATGGATCATCGTTGATCTCTAAAAGTTATATTTTCTTTTGTAATGATCTGAAGTGTGAGTTTTAGGATCCGTTGCTTCTTTAAATGCTAACTTTTAATTCTTCTATATTTGTGCAAAACCTGAGTTTCTGTTCCGACAGCAACATTATGCTTTTTATCTCCAATAATCAGGAGCGATCGCTCCTAAAAGCAATGAAAACTAAACGACGACAGCGGAATAAACCAGGTGATGACAACATGTTGAAGTGCATCATGACGGACCGGTTCCTGTAGAGTCCGAGTTCACATGCAGCGGGTTTAGAACCCAGATCTAAGAACCCAGGAGTCAGGTTGTGTAAACATACCCATGTCCTTCTTCACGATGTTGTAGAAGACGCCGGCCTGCTGGAACAAGTGAGGCAGCTTCTTTGCGTACGACCAGACGTCCTCACCTGGAACAAACAGAGAGAGCGGAACTGCATTTAACGAGGCAGGTGAGACCCTGAACGCACCGCTGAACAACAGAGAATATCACGACGTTATTAAACCAGCGGTCGCTTTGATTTCATCTATTTCTGACTCGTTTTTATAGTTTCATCTTTCACATGTGAGAATATTTGTAAACTCGATTAATCGATGACTTGTTAATTATATTATATTATTGTTAACTATTCAGATAATCAATGAAGTGGTTAGAGTATTTTTTGTTTCATGTGAATATTTTCTGAACATCTCTGACGTCGTCTTGGGCTTTAGGGGAAACACTGATCGATATTTTTCATCCTTTTATTCATTTTATGACCGAAGAACTAATCGCTTCATGAGCAACATGACTTATTAATCAACAGTGAGAACACTCTTCAGGTCTGTGAAACATTTCTGAATGAATGTTTGAGGAGAAAACATGTTTTTGTCAAAGTATGCGATCAGTTCTTTTGCTTTGTTTGGGAGCCGATGAACTAAAGCACATTTTGTTTTTGTTTGTATATAAATGTTAATATCAGAGCTCAGAGAGTTTTAAAAGGTAAATATTAACGGTTATGAATGGATTTGCTGATTAAATGATCAGCTGATCGATCTATAACTACTCTGCTCTGTTTCATATCTTCACGTTAGGGACGTCTTCAGGTTTCTGGTTTCTGACAGATATTAAGTTATTCCAACTCAACATACTTCATTCTCTTCAATAGTCACTAGTTATATAATATATCATATTTAATTTGTCTCAACACGTCTCGAAAACGCCCCAAAATGAAGCTGCTGTGTTTTAATATTCATCAGATTCTGGAGTATTTATGAAGCATAAAAATCATTCAAACTAATCATTCATAGTTTTTATGTGTCTGAGCCTCATATCAACGTGTTATAAAATGTTTGATGGTATCAGAGAGTTCATGACGTTGGTTCTTATACGTCGACGTTTTAAAAAAAGGGCCAGAAACGTATTATTATTATATTCATAACTGTGTTTTCGTCAGCGTATAATCACCTGAATCTCAGAGTCTTTCTGTGTTCCTGTTTGAGCTCCTGCTCACAGGAAGTGCAGACAAAACTGTCGCTGTCACTCAAAATATGACGAATAAACAAACAACAACAATGCTGGAGGCTGACCTCTCGCGTACGCTCTGGAACTGTACAAAGATGAAGAGACGCTGGAAACATGTCGATGCCGTTGTTCAACATGTTTTTTAGGTGACATGAGATCTGGTGAGAACTTCACTAAAGATTTACTTCCAGCGAGTAAGAAAGTCGTTAAACATTCCCCAAAAAAAACAGGAACAGTGGCTGGAACGTTGACAGTCAACGAGAATATATTTAACAAAAACTGGAAGAAATGCAACATATTTATATGATGTGACACCGACTACATGAACGCCTGATTAAAGTATGTTTGTATGAATATTGAAATGACAACTACTCTGTTAATCTGTATTTATTTGTTATTTGTTTGCAAAACCAATTGAACTATTTGTGTAGATGTTGTTTATATCTTTGTGAAAAACTCAATAAAATCAATAATGGAAACAATTCTTAGTTCTTAGTTGAGCTGAGATAAAGACTTGTGGTCACATGATCTCAGTGGTCACATGACTTTACCTAACCGTGAAGAAGAAGCGTCATGAGGAGGAGTTTGATTCTTACCCATCAAGGTTGCCAGGAGACAGAGGGAGGACATCTCCAGGTCGATGCTGTCCTGGAGTTCGCGGCCGCTCGTCCTGCTGGACGTGACGACGACGGCGGCGGCGTCCTCACTCTTCGCGGCGTGCGAGCCTGAGGCTGCGGGCGCCTTGTCCTCGGGCGCCCTCAGTATCTCCACCGTCACCCGGTCGCCGTGCTGCAGCGCCGCCGGCTCGTTCTCCTCGCCGTCCTTCGGAGGGGGCAGCTCTTTGGGCGGGAAGCCGTGGCGGATGCACTGCTGCGCCGGCGGCACGCCGAACTGGTCAGCGATGCTCCTCTGCAGCTCCGAGAAGGTGGTGTGGACCTGCAGGGTCAGCATGGCCTGCCTGCCGTCGCTGGTGGTCACGCGGATCTTCTTCTCCTTGGTGGACGAGGAGGATTTGGTCGGGGTGGCTGGAGCGGAGGAGGAGGAGGAGGTTTCCGGTGAGCCGCCGGCAGAAGATGTCCGGCCCTTCTGCTCCTGCTTCAGCTTGTCAGTCCGCCTCTTCTGGGTGACGGCGGCCTGCTCGCTGATGCTCTGCTGGATGCTGCGCTCCGCCCGGCTCATCGTCAGCTCCTCCTTGTGGAGCGTCTTGGCTTTCTGACCGGTCAGGATGATCTTAGTGGGTGGCTGGGTGTCCGGCGGCATCTCCGCGGCGTCGGTGAGGCGCTGGGCATGAGCCCCAGCGATGGACACCGGGTTGTACTCGTCCGGGTTCTTCTTGGCGGTGTGGTGTAGGATGGTGTTCACCACCTTCTGCACCAGAATCTCGCTGCCAAACTCCCCTGGGAAGTGCTTGGTAACCAGCTTCATGGCCACGTCGTACACGTTGCTGTTCAAAGCCGGCTCGGTCTCGTACTGGAACCAGTACACCGTCTCTCTCACCACCCGCCCCCCCCACTCCAGCGTGATGGGGAAGGCCTCGGGGAGGTTGTCGTACTCCTTCTCCTCCCAGTAGTGCTTGAAGCCGCACCCGCACTTCCCGCCCTGGGAGCGGGTGTTAGTTCGGTCCCCGTCCAGGTAGACCACCACCCCGTTGCCGCGGATGTGGCGCACCGACGTGCCGTGACACCAGTTGCAGGTGTTGAGGGAGCTGAGTTTATAATCCGGGGCCAGGACGTCCCTCTGGGGGTCATAGGAGCACACCACGTTGTTGAGGGGGAAGCTGTAGTTCTTGTCCGGCCGCAGCTGGCCGTGAGTGGACTTGGCCAAGTTGTAGAGCTTCCCGCCGGGAACCAGCCACTCCGGCGGGACGTGGAGCTCGGAGAGGGCGCCGCAGATCAGGCAGCGGTGCAGCCGGTTCTCCGTCACCGACTTCTTCGCCGCCTCGGTCACCTCCTCGGGCTGGATGCCGATCACGCCGGTGCGCCTGTAGACGTACTGGTGCACGTCGGCCACCAGCGACGGGTGGATGCTGTGCTTCTCCATGAACACCTCCTCCAT